GAGAGAGAACACGAACAACCTATCAAGAAGAGCTCCAGGTCTATGGACAAGATACCAAGATATATCATGGTTAAATTCAAACACCTTCTTCTTTGCATGGAATTATTCTATGGAATAATAGTATGGTTTCATGGGAGTGAGGTGAACTAAGCTTTTGAGAATCAAAACAATTAGAGAGCATAGTGAGATGAAATGTTATATATCCTATGCACCCAAAAGAGACAAGGAGAAAACCCATATGCAAGGTTTTGTTTTGTTTTTTGTTTATTTGGTTTTGGTACTGGGCAACTGAAGTCAGAGATGCTTTACCACTGAGCCACATCCCCAGCTCTTTTTTATTTTTTATTTTGAGACAGGGTCTCACTAAATTGAGGAGAGCTTTGCTAAACTGCTGCAGCTGAATTGCTAAATTGTGATCCTCCTGCCTCAGCCTCTGGAATTGCTGGGATTACAGTCATGTACCACTGTACCCAGCCTGGTTTTGGATAATAGAGACTCTGTTATGATTTGGATGTGAGATGTCCCCCAAAAGCTCATGTATGAGACAATGCAAGAAATTTCAGAGGACAAATGATTGGGTTGTAAGAGTTTTAACCCAATCAGTGAATTAATCACCTGATAGAGATTAACTGAGTGGTAACTGAAGTGGTAGCGTGTGGCTGAAAGAGGTGGAAATTGGGGGTGTGACTCTGGGGTATATATTTGTATCTGGTAAGTGGAGACCTCTCTTTCTGCTTCCTGATAACCATGTGAGCTATCTCCCTCTGCCAAACTCCTCCACCCCATGATGTTCTTCCTCACTCCCAGCCTCGAGGAATGGAGTCAGTCTTCTATGGACTAAGACCTCTGAAACCATGAGCCCTCAAATAAACTTTTTCTCCTCTACAGTTGTTCTTGTCAGATCTTTTAATCACAGCAGTGAAAAAGCTGACTAAAACAGACACCAGCCCAAATCACACTAATAGCACTAACAAATGCTCTTTTTTATTGACAAATGTACCAGATGAAAAAAAAATTACTGTAATTTAATGTGGGGGAAATAGTTTATGCCATTTTAAAGACGGCAGTTAACTGACTCAGGTAAAAACTTGCCCTAATAGTGACATTGTGCTAAATTTAGATAAACTATTAGTTGGCATTCATGTGTGGTAAGTGATTTAGATAAAAAAGTGGTAATTACTACTTGTGTTCTTTAATAGGACACCGTAACTAATACATTTCCAACTTACTAATGAAAAGATGCATCTCAATACAAAATCAGCACAAAACTGGAAACTCATAGTGAAAAAGTAGGATGCTATTGGTAATGCCATATGAACCAAGAATCCAATCAATTGCGAAGTTCCCATGGTTATAACTGATTGTGCCTTGGGTTAACATTAATCTGAAATTTTGTTTCTAATATTTTTCTTCTACAAAAAAGGAAATATTCCTTGGATCTGTTTCAAAATTTTTTTCTCTCGTTATGCTTTTCATGAATCCAATCAATGGGCCAGAAATCAGTGAGGTCCATTCTGAGCACCAAGAGACAATGGGTCAGGAAGGGTCCCAAGCCAATAAGCACTCCAGTAAACCAGAAACTGGGGTTAGGACAACAAATGTGGGAGACCAGGATTGTTTGAACTTCAAGAGTCTAGGGCTGTAGGCATATATAACCCATGCCTGGCTTGGATGGCAAGAGATGAAATAGCATATACATATTAAGTTCCACAGGGATAAAGCACATAGTGATAATGAAAATCTGCTGTGACTTTTTGGTGCAGTGTTCTGCTCCAAAATAGCAGCTACACAGCTATTCAAAGATTCATCTTCAAGAGGCTGGGCTGTCATCTGTTAATCCAGAAGACCTGACTTTGCAGAAATCACCTAAATGAGAGCGGGAAAGCACAGAAACACTATACAGAATTTACTTTAAAAAAATTGCTTCATGGGTAAGAGCCAAGATAGTTTTCTGAGTTTAAAATTACTACTGTGATTAATCCTACTCCCTATTTGTTATGTTTTAATGATTTCAAACCCTGCCTGATCAAACCCCTTCCTTCCTCACCAGTGGTTAAACACTATTCTGAAGTAGGCGTATATCATTTCCACTCACATCTTTTTATTTCTGCCAAATATTTTCATAACCATGAGCAATAAAGCATATCATTTTGTCATAAAAATACGTTCCAAAAAAGGTTAGGTAGAGAAGTCTAATCTTAATTTCTGAAAGCTATAGATGTTTTACCTAGATAGGATCTTTCACAGTTAAAGCTTGTGTAAGTTAAAAAAAAAAAAAAAAAGTTACCATTTGCTCCTTTCAAGCACTGTCTTGAGTCACAAAGTCATCTTGCATTACACTGCCCTAGGACTTGTTAATGGCATTTATACTCAGTGCACAGCATTTTAACACCTTCAAACAAAGCATTTTTATGTCAATTTCATTAACAGTGACACTGAGGAAGCTGCTCAGCAGCACATCAGAATGCTAGAGTAACTCAAGTCCATCAGATCTGAAAATCATTGCATCATGGTAATAAAACACTTAAGAGCATGCCCCAGGGAAAGACAAATCCGACAATTAAATCTTCAATGCCAATTGGTACTACCACTTTCTTAGCACAAGTCATATTTGCAATGTTAAGATCAAAAAATTATTTCACTAACCAGAATAAGCATATTCTTAAATATATTTTCCAATTAGTTACAAGTTTAAAGCAAATAAATAAATAAAAATACCACATGGAAGATAAATTATTACTCTTCCAAGGTACGATTTACAAGAGAATTAGAAAAATAATCATATCTATGTAAGCAATTTCTTCAAATTAAATAAACTAGTAATTCCTTTTTATGGGCATGGGGAAAGTAGAGGATAACCCCCAAATTAAATGGCAAATTCTAGGCAGTGCCCATATTAAACAATCTCTAAAAGGAACCAGGGTTCCTTGGAGAACTGGCAGATTCCAGAAAAGTACAAGATGAACCTGGAATATCTTTGTCAGAAAGTAAGCAAGTGCTCACAGATACATAAGGAAAAGATAAAAGAACACAGGAGCCAGCCTGAAGAAGCTCTCACTGGCCAACCCTGGACAATTTGAACAATGAAATAAATAATGGTAAAATAGACCAAAGCCTACTAAATAAAATAGCAAGCTCTATGAATAAATAAGTGTCAAAGAGAAAGCTTTTTTAAAATGGTACTAGGGATTGAACCCAGAGGCCCTTTTACACTGAGCTACATCCCAACACTACTCCCACTTTATTTTAAGACACGGTCTCACTAAGTTATTCAGGGGCTTACAAAATTAAAGATGCTGGCCTGGAACTTGTGCTTTTCCTGCCTCAGCTTCCTGACTTGCTGCCACATTGTCCAGCTGAGAAAACTTACTTTTATAATAAAAAGCCAATAGATACAAAACAGAAGAAATGATAAAATATGACAGCCATGTTTGGGGAACCAACAGAATAATAATTAATTCAGAAAAAAAGTTGAATTGTAAAACCAGTGAATGAAACTATTATGCAGCACAGAACATTTACAATATCAAAGTACCTTCCCAATATACTTATTAATAACACGGTGGGGAAAGAATTTCACAGTGTAGAAGGCTGGCCAGCTCCATCTTAACCAAGGGACCAAAGTGAGCATCCCCAGCAATGGACAAATGAAAATCATGTAATGGGACAGGAGAAAAACACATAATTTTTCTCATTGTCCAATAAAAATGCATAAAAATAGCATAATCATGAGACAACATCAGATAAATCCTACATTTATGTAGGGGGTCACTGTACAACCTATCTGACCTGCCCTTTTCAAAATTGCCAAAGCCATAAAAGTCCAAGAAAGACCAAGGAACTACTCTGGACTGAAAGAGACTAGAGAGCTATGGAAACAAAATGCAAAACACAATGCTGGAAAGGATGCTGGACCAATAAATGACAAATGGCAAAATGTGAATGGGGTCTGATAATCAGACAGTGTTGGTATCAGTGTTAATTTCCTAAATTGGATGGTTATATTTTCGTTACACAGGCAAATGTCAATGTTTTAAAAAAAACCATACACACACACACACACACACACACATATATGTATAAGTGTGTGTGTGTGTATATATATATACACACACACACACACTTACTTAAGTATTCAAAGGTGCTAGGGTGCTGCTATAGTTTGGATCTTGAATGTTTCCCAAAGGTCCACGTGTTGAAGGCTTAGTCTCCAGCGTGGTACAAATGGGAGGTGGTGAACCTTTAAGAGGTGGGAGGTCTTCAGATAATCTAGGGATGCACCCTTGAAGGGAACTCAGGCTCTTATCTCTTCCTCTCATGCTTCCAGGCTATAAAAGGTGAGTGGTTTTGCTCTGCCACATGCTCCTACCATGATGTACTCCCTCACTATAGGCCCAAAGACATAGGGCCAATTGGTCATGGACTGGAACCTCTAAAACTCTGAGCAAAAATAAAGCTTTCTCTTTATAAGTTGCTTATCTCAGGTATTTGTTATAGTGATCAAAAGCTGACTGACACAGTCACCATTTACTTTCAATTAGTTCTGTAATTAAAATGTTCTATACCATTCTTATACCTTTTCTATAATATTGAAATTATTTCAAAAGAAAAAAAGGTATATGTATGCTATAATTATAGCTATTTATAAATAGAACATAAATAATGGAAATAAAACTATCAAAAGAAACCACAGTGGTAAAGTACTAAATTGAATGGGTACTATTTAACTTTTGAAATTTGTTTATTGTCATATTTCCATAACAGTAATAACTTTTAAGACAATTACACATATGTTCATGTTTAATTCAACAAGACAACAGATATTATAAAGAAGCCCTCCAGCAAAACAGAAGAAAATAGCATAATGCAGCCAACAGTCTTCACCCTATGCATACCTAAGTAGTAATTAATTTTAGTATGCACATGCTCCTCCACTGCCTAATTAACTTCCTTTCTTGAACAATATGTACAAAGAACTCTGAAAACCAAAAAACAGATACCTTGATTTAGATGTGTAGCCTCCGTAATTTGAACACCATTCACGGAGCACTGAGACCCACTCAGGGGTATGAGAGTCACGGTCCCCCCAACATTTTCAAAGACACAGTGCTCACTCTCTAAGTCAAGGCCATGAAGAACTAAGATGGAAAAACAAAGGATAAAGGTTAACTTTTTAAAAATTTTGCTTTTGATATATATGACAATGATTTCCAACCATTAACTTATTTTTTATTTTAAATAATCTTCCTTTTCCAAGAAAGTTTTGTAAAGTAGATATTTATGTTTAGTGGGAAAAAAAAAAAACAACTAAAATTTAGGAGTCCAGGGTATTAACTAATAGAAATAGAGACATACTCTAATTGTTACCTTGAAGGGTCTGCCCTCATCTGTATAAGGAAACAAGTTCCTAGATGTTAACTTTCTTTTTCTTTCTTGAGGAGAAAATAGTTGAATAACTTGTTTTAACTGAATTGAATTGCTCTGTTGGATAATAAATTAATTTCTTTTATCAGCCACCTAACGAAGGGCATAAGGGCTCTGTGCGTCTAGGACTACTTATGAATTCCATAATTACAGATAATGCATTCCAGGAACAGAAACCACAGGTGAACTGAGCATGGCATGGATCTCTGGAAGCTCAAGAAGATACCAGAAGCTATACTGAGATGCCTATCACCAAAACTGTGCAAATCTTAGACCACACAGAGCATGCAGTTGCTAAGGTTTATGTAATTATGTATCACTATCCTGTGTTCTTCTTATCTGAGGAATGGCCATCTGCAATATGAATGCCTGTCAAAAATAAACATACATGCTTTTAGGGAAAGTTCCTGGCAAGGTTTCAGGAGTACAGACCATGCACTTTCTACTCACTCCACAGAATATACTACTCAACTTCTCTGGTCACAGAAAATGTATTCTTATCACTTATCATCATTAATAACTACCCCAAATGTCAAACACATAGTTCAACCAAGAGGCCTGAGTCAAGGTCTACTCAAAAACACTTAATCCTGGGGACCTGTGGAATTGGTTTTTAGCTATTCCAGGCTCAAAGTAAATAGTAAATACACATAGGAATATGCTAGGCCTGCCTAAATAGTTTATGCTTTTCAAGAAATCGGGTCCATCCCATTTATTAATTCTTGATTTTTATTTCCTGCACTTTAGGAGTCTTGTTAAGGAAATCAGGGCCTAATCCAATGTGATGAAGATAGGCCTACTTTTTCCTCAGTTAGACGCAGGGTCTCTGGTCTAATTCCTAAGTTCCTGATTCACTTTGAGTTGAGTTTTGTGCATGGAGAGAGACAGGGGTTTAGTTTCATTTTGCTGCATATGAATTTCCAGTTCTCCCTGTTTCTCACAATGCACAAAACTCTAAAGTGGATCAGGAACTTAGGAATTTGTTGAAGAGGCTATCTTTTCTCCAATGCATGTTTTTGGTGCCTTTGCCTAGTATGAGATAACTGTATTTATGTGTCTATATCCTTCCTTGAAAAGGACTTAGATCTTTTATCTGTGTCTGTTAGTATATTTTCATTAACTGCTATCCCCCTGGGATAAGTATAAATGGATTTAAATAAATTTAAAAGAGTAGAAAATATATGTAGGATGACAGGAAGGTTTCATAGCTACATTTATTTACTAAATTAATTGTTCTATGTTATTCATCTGAGTTGTGATCAAAATTACAGATACATATTATGACCAATATTGTATTTGTTCTTTTTTATAATTACTACAATGTCAGTCACTCAAAAGAAGGTTCTTAATTAAATATGATTTTTAAAAAAATCATTGAGAAGAGATAATAAAGTATTACCAATATCCTGCTCTGTTGAAGCATCTTCTCTACCAACATATGTCTGACCTTCCTGGGAAGAAAAGTCAAAGAACACTTATTAGTGAAAACAGGAGAAGGGTTCCTCCACTTTCCATTTAAGCCCAGGGAACCTGATGAACAATGCTGGGGTAAGCCTCAGTGCAATCATGGCTCAGTCTCTGCAACAATACTGCAGTGGGGGATCCAGAAAATGATAACTTAGCAATGGTTAGGCTTCCATCTTGGCATGTATCAATAATTTGCTAGCATCAGCAATTTCATCAATGTTCCTGATCTAGGGAGCTTCTCCTCCAGTGTCCAGGGGGTTTCTTTACATCTAAAGATATGGTACGTGAGTAGGTCACAAAACTCAAGTACAGTACCATTCTCCTAAAGAGGGCATTAAATTCAAGATCACAGAGACAGCCATTGATTCTGACATGGAACTCTGCCATTCAGACATGATTAACCTCCTTGGAACCAAGTCCAACAATGGGCCACACAATTTTATAATTACAACTAGGAACCAGAAAACTGTATATAAAACAAACCCAATTATAGGAGCTTGTAACTCTTCTTCCTCTTTCTACCTTTTTGTTCCTCACTTCCCTTTTCCTGACTCTCTGAAGCAGAAGCCAAAATGAATGACTCATCATTTAACTTCAGAACTACATAAACATGGGAACTTCAAGTACCAGAGAATCCCAGTGAACTGCTGAAATTCCCTAAAGGGCTCAAGAACTTGTTGTATATTCTTTAATTTAATAGCTGTATTCATGGCCATAAAGCATTATAATAAACCTTGCTAGTGTCTAAAGGGAAAACTGGAAGCAAAATGAGAATGTTCCACTTAAGCAGTTTCTACCTTCAAGTGATATAAGATGATTCCAGTACTCAGAAGGTCATCATCAATGCCAATCAAATGAGGCAGTTCAGAATCCAAAACAACTCCAATCCCCTCCTTCCTAAGGGCTAGAGTTTGTTCCTGAAATCGGGAGAAAAGGAAAAGGTTACTTTGGGGAAAGAGAACATCATATTTCATATTCCTTACATTGTTAATTGATGTCTTATTTCTTATTAAAAAACTTCAAGAAAAATGGACTTTAAACTTCATGTTGAAATCCTGGCAGGTGGTAAGCAAAGTGAACCTGAAACATATAAATAAAAAGCTCAATTTAAAATTAATTAGGCTTATAACGTGATATATAACTTTTCAAGGGCAATCTCACAGCCCATTTTCCTTAGGAAAGATTTCAGGATCACCCTGAAAGATTACTACAAAGTAATCTTTCTTCCTTCTTCAGAACCTTTGCACTACTTAAATTCTGGAAGTTTCCTTAACTGCATGTTTTTCTCTCTAGTTACTATGGTGAACTATGTATATTCTTGAGAGCAACCCTTGCCTGTGCATTAGGTATCCCTGTACCACAGGTGACCTCAGTCTCCTGAATCAGCAACTTCTCCCACCTACTGGATCATTCTCGCACACATACAAATCTGCTATAGCTCTCCCACCAACAACCACTATCCTGATCACCTCCCTTGGCCCTACCTTTCCCTCTAACTACCACCAATCTCTCCATGCCCTATGAGAGAAAATCACCAGTCAAATTTCCTTACACATGTGGCTCTCCAAGTTCTTCCCATTCTCTCTTTTGAACCCAAGAGGTGGTTTTAGACCTCTACCTATACTGACACCCTTTATCTCATCCTGACTCTTGACTCTAGCTGCCATCCACATACTAGACTCTCAAAACTGCCAAGGAAGATCTCTCCCTTAGATTCTGTACTTATGTATGTGTATCTCCTATTCAATACATCTGTGGGGATTTCAAACAGGCAGCTCAAACTTAACACAATAAGAAATACAACACAAACCTGTAGACTACCACATCTCAGTAAATGCCTACCTTGAACCAAAAACCAGGGCTTTACTTTGCTTTCTTTCTTTCTCTAAACCCTATGTCTACAGTATTGATTCCTACTTTCAAAATATGCTTCATATCTACTAATACCAAACCACCTGCACCACTTCACCCTGGCCCAAATCATCATATTTCATCTGCATTACTGCAACAACCCAGGCCATCACTTATACCCCTTGTAATATATGCATAACCCAGGAGCCAAAGAAATAACAAAGCAGGTTACTCCTTTGCTCAGATCCCTTAAATCACCTCCAGTTTCACTGAGATACAAGCCCAAGTTTTCATAATGTTTTACAAACTCAAATGCTCTCATCACCCCCTAACCTGCATTTGTCTTCCATCACTGCCCTTCCCCACCTTGCTCACTCGTATCTAGGAGCCATGATTCTTTGCTGCTCCTCAAATTTGCCAGCCTGCCCCATCTTAAGGCTTGAATCACACTTTTACTTCTGCTTTTTTGACTACAGTTTCTTTTGTCATTGCTATCCCTCTCTTCCCTGAGAGCAGGGTCTCTTAATCTCCACAAAATTGACATTTATAATTTCTTTATTCTCATGTACTAGTGGATATTTAGCAGAATCCCTGGCCACTATCCACTAAATGCTAGTAACAAACCACCCTCCCCCAAAGTGGTGACAACCAAAAACCAGACATTGCCAAATGTCCCCCTGGGGGACAAAATCGGCCCCAGTTGAGAAGTGCTTCCTTAGATACATACATAATTTGACCCATCACTACTCTGCTCAAAGACACCTTACCTATTGCCCCATACAAAACAGTAAGTACCCACCTTCCACATGCTGATTTGTATCTCTTCTTAGCAATTATTACACATGTAGAAACTCCTCAACTAATATTTGCCAAATGAATGAGTGGATAGATCCATGGAATTCAGAGCATGTTACTAGTGTGACCCCTCAGGGAAGGGACCATATCTTAACATCAAACCCAACTGGCCCAAAATAAAAGATTTCCAAAATCAGGTTTTTAGGGAAGTCCAAGTTGGGAAGAAGACACAATCCAGAGACCAAAGGTAAAATTTCAGTCTTGATGTTGAACTCTGATGAATTCAGTCTGAGTCACACCTAAGAGCATGACAGTGTGCTCAGTGACTATGGAGCAAAAAGGAGCATGTTCCAAGCTATCAACAACCAGGGCTTCTGGTCATGCACATTTCTGGTGAACCTCTCCCCGGCCACCCACCATAGGACAACAATGACCAAGGCTCATCTCTATATCTCAGAACTGCACAAAACATAATTGCTATTCCTTACATTCCTGGCATGGAATAACATATTTTGGTGTCATTTAAATATTCAAACAACATGCAATCTGCCATTCCTTCAGTAAAAGAGTCAGAACTTCTCAAGCCAGTGTCAAAGCAAAACTCAAATCTTGCAGACAAGGGAGCTCCTATGAGATTCTAGGAGTGGGCAGTGAAGAGAGAAAGGGTCCTCAGGCCTTTCTCTCTACAGATATTTAAGTCTCAAATGCACACCCACAGACCTGGAGTCAATAGAATGAAGGCGATGAAATGAAGTGGCAAAAAAAAAAAAAAAAAAAAAAAAAGATGGTTTAAAAAAAATACACACATAAAAAGCACCACTTGAAAGAAAGCAATTTAATTTAACAACCATTAAATAGATACAGAGAAAATGACCACTGCATAACTTAGATTCAAGAAAAGGAAATGAAGCGTATCATTGTTCTTCAATTACTTCTCTTATCAGCCAGCTCTCATTCCATGGCTCAGAAGCTCAGGATCAGAGGTCAGAGACTTCAGTAACCTTGATTTACTATCCTAAGGCCTCTGCAAATCTTGGCTAAAATGAGCACTCTACATAAAACAACCCCTACTCCTACCTCTCAGACATCAGTAGAATTCATGCTTTTCTTCCTGCCCATAAAATTCAAGCAAAAGTGGGAAGTACGTGATTTCTTTTTCAAAGATATATATTATAGTAGAGAATTTAATCACACAGCTCCATTTTATGAAACAATGCCCCTATTGGAAGGTCTGGTCTCTCTGAACTTCTAGAATAGTGCACGCAAGCTAAGTAGCCCTGTGGCAATGAATTCTTTCAGGCTTCTAGGTCCATATAAAAAGGAGAGTGATTATTCTCATAAGTCCAGAGGCATATGTATTTTCCTTCTGAAAAAAAAAAAAGTGGACAATAAACCATCCCTTCCCCCCCACAAAAAAAAAGGCAATATTTTAAACTATAACAGTTCCTACTCAAACTAGACAAATTGCTTTGGACTACATCCACGTTTAGTTTAATGTTCTCAAAAAAAAAAAAAAAAAAAACCAACCCCACTGAAAAACACTTTTTTTCTTCCTTGATGTAAGTTTCATAGACTTTGAAAAGCACTGCAAATCTATAACTCCGGAGCCATTAGGTCAAAAGCATTATTTTTTCTGACCAATCCCCAATGTGATACACACACAAAAACATATAAAGCACATACTCACACACTCTTCCAGACATATAATAGGTAAAACATGAATTAAGAGAAAATTTTTCAAGATTGAGAGTGGGGGCAGATGAATTTATGATTAATGCTGCCCTAAAGCTCTATGACATTCAAGCTGCATTCAACTACGATATTATAAAAGTGTCACCTCATAAAACTGAGAATGAAGGTTTAAATCATTGCTCAAGTGAAAAAGTAATTTCAGACAAAAATATCTATCACGTATAAAATATTTATTGAGTGGCATCTACTGTTGTACATAATTTATGAAACACCTCTTGGATAAGATGGAATACTTAGCATAGTAGAGCTGGCCACCGTCCCCAACTCCTGGCATGCTGGATCCCAAAGAAAGAAAGAAGGAAAGAAAATACGTGGAATTGCACATATCTTGCAATGAGACAAAGCTTTCAGTAACCAAAATTAATTGAATAAAAAAAGACACTATAGACTGATTAGAAGTGTCAAAACATAAATATTATGTTCATTACATTAGCAAATAATATACTCATCCTGGAGCATGGTGGCACACACCTGTAATCCCAGCAACTTAAGAGGCTAAGGCAAGAGGATTACAAGTTCAAGGCCAGCCTCAGTAATGTAGCAAAACCCTCAGCAACTAGTGAGACCCTGTCTCAAAAAATAAAAAGGACTGGGGATGTAGCTCAGTGGTTAAATGCCTCTGGGTTAGATTCCCAGTATACCCCCCCCCCCAAAAAAAAACCACCTTTCCTTCTACCTCCAGACACTATTCAGTTAAAATACCCCTGAATTTAAAACACTTGTCCAATTCACAATAGCTAGACTGTGGAACCAACCCAGATGCCCTTCAATAGATGAATGGATAAAAAAAAATGTGGCATTTATACACAATGGAATAGTACTCAGCACTAAAAAATAACAAAATCATGGCATTTGCAGGGAAATGGATAGCATTAGAGCAAATTATGCTAAGTGAAGCTAGCCAATCCCTAAAAAACAAATGCAGAATGTCTTCTTTGATATAAGGGGGGGAACTCAAAACAGAGCAGGGAGGAAGAGCATGAGAAGAAGATTACCATTAAATAGGGATGAGAGGTGCATGGGAATGGGAGAGAGAAGGGGAATTGCACAGAAGATGGTAGGAGACCCTCATTGTTATGCAAAATTACATATAAGATGGTGTGAGGGGAAAGAAAAAAAAGAGAGAGAGAGAAATGTGTCACAGTAGATTGGGTAGAAAGAGGGGAGGGGAAGGGAGGGGAGGGGGGGATAGGAAGGGTAGCAGAATACAACAGACACTAGTATGGCCCTATGTGTAAACGTGGCTGTATAACCAATGTGATCCTGCAATCTGTACACGTGGAAAAATAAGATTACATACCCCATTTGAATCAAATGTATGATATGTCAAGATCATTGTAATGTTTTGAGCAACTAATAAAAAAAAATTAAAAAAATAAAATAAAACATTTGTCCAGTGCTGGGGCTGACACAAAATCACCTATGCTGCATTCTGGGGGCTGTGGTGAGTTGCAAACAGGGCTGCCTAGATTCTGGGGGTAATTTGACTCACTAGGAGAATCCTTTGTAACCACCATAA